TGGGATGATGTCCCCATCATTCTAGGGTGGGGGTTAGGGGGTGGGATGATGTCTCCATTATTCTAGGTCGGGGGATAGGGGGTGGGATGATGTCGCCATTATTCTAGGGTGGGGGTTAGGTGTTGGGATGATGTCTCTATCATTCTAGTGTGGGTGTTAGGGGGTGGGATGATGTCTCCATCATTCTTGGTGGGGGGTTAGGTGGATGGGATGATGTCTCCATCATTCTAGGTTGGGGGTTATGGGGAAGGGATGATGTCTCCATCATTCTAGGGTGGGGGTTAGGGGGTGGGAAGGGGTATATAGTGCTACCACATCTGTCCTGTGTGAATTCATGTGTCATCAGTCTAGTAGGAATGTATTTCTTAAAATATTTTGATCATATGTTAAACAAAGTACGAGAATGTATGAGAATACCATGATCAAGTTCCTATTTCAGGATTCAAATTAGATGGCTCAGGTCTCGCTGCTACTATTTATAGAAATATGTTAAACAATTACTTTATTTTGCTTGGAGCAGCAGCTGTCTAACATATACAAATACCTACAAGTTTCAAAATTATTGATTCTATTTTAGGACGGGCGAATCCTGCTTTGACAAAGATTAAATCTCTTCTTGTAGATGTGTTTGATCGCTTACAGCAATAAAATAAAATTCATCAAATTAAAGTTATTAAAAAAATATATATATAAGAATCAGCATCATTATGCTGTTAAATATTTTAACATGTGTTTCATTATTTACAGCCGAGCTAAATGGCTACTCTGGCGACACACTTTCGAAGCATTCCATAGCAATCCAGCCAGTCGTTGCCGTTCCAGACTCTCAGTATGGAGGCCGACGGGACTTCACTCTGTGAAGGATCTTACGTCATCTCCGACTCTATGGAACGGATCTCCCATTATCTCTGATCTGCCAACAAACTTGCTGCTGTTTGTAACAATTTTCAAGGACAAGCTGAAAAACTTCACCATCCTTGAATAATTCTTACATAGTGATAAAAAATACTTTTTTTAAAGTGTTCCATAAGTTTCCAGAATTAAAGGATTATGGATCTTATCTTTACATGATGAAGATCGCTTACCCAAGAAAAAACATATTGGAATGTGAACCGAAAAATTTATGAATATTATGGAAAAAAAATAAACAAAAAAAATGAATGGGAAAATTTAGATAAAGTTTTTTTTTACAGAAAGAAAACATATCTAGAATAATAAAAATTAAAGGACAATTATCTTGACAATTAATAATTAACAAATAAATTTTGGTTACAAAATAATATCCCAATTCATGCAAGTGTATTGACTTAATTACAAGTAGGTCAATATGACAATGAATGACCTGATCACTTCCTCGCAGAAACTTATTATCTAAGCAGCTTAGAACATATGGATATAGTGTATTTATCCTGCAGTAAGCCTAGGGGACTTAGAACATAACGATATACATTGTAGTGTATTTATCCTGCAGTAAGCCTAGGGGACCAGCACTTCATATCCACCTCAAAGCAAGGGATGAGCTTATCACAGGACAGTGAAATATAATTTGTTGTGATTTCAACTGATCTGCAATAGATAGGGTGGGCTTATTACCAGGCATGGGTTTATTGCCAGATAAGTACAATACGGTAAAAATAGTTGAGACCATGTCCCCAGTATTACAGGCTGTGCTTATGCTCTAGAAAGTCAGTTAAAAGAGTCTTAATGATTCTAAAAATACACAGCAGTGATCATGATGATCAGTACACAACGTTCACTCCTAGGATATTTTAAAAAATAAGATATTCAACTTTTGTAGATAGGAGGATGGAAACTCAATAAAGATGCATTATCAGAGATGAACTGTCCAACAATTATAAAATGAGAAACAGAATATCGTACTTGTGATTATTGTACTGATGGGAGCCTCTAGTTTGTCTCCCATCTGTGAACATTTAAATGTTGATTGCTGAAAATGATCCTGTTCAGAAAATCATATTTCTTTGTAGAATGAATCTTTATATAACATTAGGTATTACATAACATATATTATATTTTTGCAAGAGTGTATTGTTTTAAATGTATAACCACACAACGATGAAAAATAAACCACCTCTTACAAACACTTCCTGTTATAAAATTTGATCTACCGGTAATGTCCACAATATTTTTGATCATACAAAAATGTAAATTTAAAAAAAAAAAATTTATTAAATAGCCAGGTTCAATTGAAGTAAAGTTCTGTGAGGTTGACTGGTATTTTAAGCATGAGAAATTGTCTCATTTATATCTAGTACGCTCCTGTCTCTTTGGAATTGTGTCACATGTTTTATATCTTAAGATAATACGAATGATATTTACAGTAAGCTCAAAAATTATATTTGCTTTATGTAGGTAATGCTTTATAATATATTCAGATAACGACTATGGGCTTCAACCAATGAGGTATGGTTAGAATAAATTCACCAATAGATAACTTCTCATATCTTTTCAGTTGTGCGAGTACATATCACCATGATATTCTCAATATGTTTTCGTCTGAATAGCTCATTATATTACAGAGTTATACATAAAAGAGTATACAAAAATGTTTTCAATTATCTATACATAATGCATTATATCCTATTGGTTTCATTAGTTTTAAGGTAAATAATACAGAGATTTTTCCTCAAAAAAACATCACAGAATGCCAGGGCTTTGTCAAAGTCTCCTTCATTCAGGAATTTGTGATTCCCAGGAATCCCTTTTTTGGATCCCTTTCATTTGTGTTTCCTGTAAATAGGGTATTCAGTTATCATGGTATATATTAAGTTTGGGAATTTTGATATGTTTGTGATTTTTAAGAGATTACATTGTTCTGGTTATATTACAACATGCATGCAGTTCATTTTCTTTTAAAAAAAAGGGGGTTTGGGAATTTAAAAGTATTTATGACATTTGATGAAACATAAATGTATGTTTTTGTATATAAGGAAGAAATAATAAATATATACCATTTTCTAGAAAGAGGGCTTTGTCATTCATTTTCTGACCTGTGGTCGACAGGTGTCTCGGACAATTCTTAATTAACAGAACTTTTCTTCATATGTGCATATCTGACAAGTTCTTTACATTTCTCAACTTGTGACATTTCCCGGACAAATACTCATAATTATGTAACATGCATATCAGATAATTAGTCCTCTACCTTTTGTATGTGTTGTTTGGCTCAGACAAGTTTTTGACCTTTTGTTGTAGTGATGTGTGTCTTGGGCAACCTTTTTTCACATTTGATGACAATCCTTGACCTTTCTTCACCTATCACGTATTTCTTACAGGACCTTGACCTTTCTTCACTTGTCACATGTGTTTCAGACAAATCATTGACCTTTCCCCATATATGACCTTATCACTTGTATATCTGACCTTTCTAATAACAAAAGACCTAAAGAGCCAAAGAGGAAACCAGGATACCCAGAGAAAACCCACATGGTCAGACAGGTAGTGGTTCTCCAAGTTAAAGTAATTCTAAAACATATCCAAAAACAATTAAAACTGAAACTCAATCATATTTCTACTTTTATTTCGCACTCTCTCTTTGGATCACAGACTTGTGTACATAAAATGTGACATTGACATTACACATTGATATGTTATTAAACATCACATTACGCTGGTTTTACACTACCTGTACATTCAACCCATTTATAAGTAATAATTACACATACAATGACATGTATCCTGATAGCACATTGACTTTGCTCGGAATACTTGTTGCAAACCCTTTTTATACTGACCCTATTAGTCATAAGAAAAATTGTGGCACTATAAAGGGTTTTAGCCATACTCGATATTCCTGGAGCAACGCTTACTTGCGCTTTCTGCACTCCTGGATTTATTTTTCATTCAAACGAATTTTATTGACATTAAACAGTCAAAAGGGATTGGGCACAAACTCTTTACAACTTACAGGGCCATCTCCTGGAATAGTCATGAAGAAATTGAAGGCTCAATGTGTGCCACCTTATTCATGATACACGAAGACTAGTTTGATCATTTGATGAAAATCAAAAAAATCCAATGGCAGCATTTCAGTAAAATTGACTGACTTTGAAGTGGGGTGTCGCAGCTCTGTAATCTCTAAAGGGCAGAAGTCTGTATATATTTTTACCCAATAATAACCACATAGCTATAGCCGCATGCCTTCCATTTTGCCATGACATATTCCAGAGTTGCACAGAATATAAGTGCGCTAATCCTGAGGATATTGCAGATGGGGTTTTACGAAACATTTGGGAATGCATAAAGATTTGTTAACTCATTCACCTCTGAAGACACATTTGAACCCTTCCAATTCAAAGGTTAGAATAGTTCATTATGAAATTTCAGGGGTGAATGAGTAAAGGAAAGGTGGAATAAGAGTCCTTGATATATGTGTGTGGTAAATGAGGTTGAAAATTAAACGTGGGGAATTACATCGAGGTTTAACTGTACACAATCTGTATACATGGTATTGGGAAGTTTTCGTCAGTTTAATTTTGCCTTTTTCCGCCCTCCGTAATGTGAGCGAATTTATCACGGTGGTGACAAATAAATACACAACATACTATACATAGTAATAACATCTGAAGGGCGAAAATAACACGGAGTGTAAATGGATTCTACCAGTGGAGGGCGAAAATAACACGAGTGTAAATGGATTCTACCAGTGAAGGGCGAAAATAACACGAGTGTAAATGGATTCTACCAGTGGAGGGCGAAAATAACACAGCACAAAAATGGATTCTTTCAGTGGAGGGCGAAAATTTGACTGTTTCCCAGTATACAGTAAGGTCAACCAAAAATTATACCTCACATGTAGTATCAGGTGTTTTTTTGTCATTCTCTCGATCTACGATATGAAAGTGTCATTCTGATGGTATAACACCACAGTATAATGTACCAGTATATGTATATGTTCACTTGGAAGCAGCAGAACAAATAATAATACATCCACCTGTTCCTTTTACAGCTCAATGTATATTAACTACACAAAGGTATTAACATAGCCACACAATGATGACCTCCACAATTTTCAGGTCTGTAATTTCATGTGGTCAGAAAATGTTTACAATGAAACTGTCGATCACAAAGCTTTGATGACCTGAACTCTCAATAGATTTCCACAGCTAGTACGGTAAACAGCAAGAATAAGACTGGGTGTTTGAAAATGAGTTTTAACTGACAGGTAAAACTGCTTTATTGCATTCATCATTTTAATCTTTACTGGACATTCACATTGACACTGTAAAACCCTTTTCTCATTAATCCCAGTCATACTGTCAATGGGTGCAAACTAGGCACCCCAACCCTTTTACAAACATGTCTTTAACTCAGATTATAAATACCCTCACTAGACACAAGTACTCTTGTCTTTTCACATACACATTTTTACAGCAGTTATCATTGTTTTAAATACTGTTTGCAAGCTTAATACTTCTGTGTCAATATCTCTTTGCGGAAAGACAGAGACTTTCAAAATTTCAACTCTTACAGATGAAAATTTCAAAAGACATGGAGCAATTTCGAGACATACTGTAAGTATTGATACCCAACAAATGGGTCTGTGTGATTATCACATTAGTTAAACTGTACCACAACATCTAGATAATGCACTTAAACAGTCACATAAAAAGTATAGGAATTTGCAAGATTGTATGCTAGTAACTCCACACAAATTGTATTCCAAACTTATTTATGAAGTATATAAATGATAATTAAATGCTTTCAATATGGTACTTTGGTTACAGTCTCATCACAAAGGGATATCAAACAACCACTTAACAGATGACAGGTGTTCTTATGTAATTATAAACAATCTGTTCAAAACAATGCGTTTCAAACAATCGTATATGTGTAATTCATGTGCATTTGATAACTCAGATTAACAAGTAAGATAGTTCCTGATGAAGGTTATAATATTTCTCTTGAAGCATGACAACGTTTTCCCAAAAAGGTGACAATTCACACAACCAGAGATGATACTGACTTGAGCTTAAATCGCTGACACATACATTATATCATTAAGTATGTGTTAAGTAAAAATACCCATATTTTACTAGTGATAAACAACGTTTAGCTGGTAATTAACCATCCTCAATAATAAGACCACACTAAGTAATAAATTCACGCTGAGTAATATGTTATCAGTGAAAATCCTACCTTCACTTTATAAACCCTTGCTCAGTAATAAGACCATCTATTATTTTTAATATTTCACACGTACGAGTGCACATTTTAGGTAAAACTCCGTGAACAAGCAGTTCATTTTACCGTCTTTTTTAGCACTAGGATACATGGGTTTATCACAGGTAAAATATGGTAATTCAAACATAGCTTAAGGGTATATGCTACCTTATTAGTAAAATGAACCTCCTTTCAGAAGTGTTTCACATTAAAACACCTGTAACTATCCTTGAATTAATAATTTGAAAAGGAACCATAATTCTGATGTGTAAGATAATGCTCATCACAAAAATATCAAGGAAGTTAAATCAAAATGTCATACATTCATAGATTTACACACCTGGTGTACGCATTCATATTGCTCTTCATCAAAATTAAAATAAATCTTTCAACTCATCAGCTATTAATGAAATGTCATGTGACATCATGAATTTGTGGCTGTGTTGCTTATAAAAATGATTTGCAAATATATAATAATGACAATATCTTTCTGTGAATACATCAAATTGATATCAGAACTGGCCAAGAATACTGCACCGTACAGTGTAGGTTACATAGCAAAGCCTTTGTAAAACTGACATGGCTGGATGTTCTGGGGGTACCATGATCTGTACAAATATTTACATTGAGGACGGAGTGTCAACATTTTATAGGCAATAAGAAAATGTGAGATGACCAAATAAGTTGCCTTTTATTTAAGACATGCAGTGGGAAAGAATAGGTCTGATGTTCCCTAAGCAGAAAAACATTGAAAGTTAAACTTAAAAGTTGATTCCAATTCTTCCTTTTTGAAGATTTTGTTCTTAGATTCATACATCCAGTTATTTTAGCTGAAGTCATTTGGACTTCAAAACTTAATATCAGGTGACTAAAATGTTATAAATACTGCAATACATCTCTTCAATGTTTTTTCTATAGATCAGCAGGTTACACAATGCATGTACCATTACCAGTTGAAGCTTTGAACAATGTCTATGGCAAGTATGGTTTTATTTTATGAAATATGTACCTGAAATGCTTAACAATGAATGAACACCGCTATATTTTTTTTAAATTCAAAGAAATTCTATTGCAATGCTGATGAACGAATCACTCATAAACTGTAAAGTGTAATATTACAAATTGCTAAAATAGATGCTGGGAAAATTAAAACAGATCTATACCCTTTACGGACACATCAGCGGGAGAGATTGAGGACAAGGTCAGAAAAAAATGCTATACAAGTTCGTAATATTTGCAGCTCCTTGGGTCGTAATAACAGCTGAGACAGGGATCGTAGAGTAAGTCCAACTCGTCTATAGACTCATCGTCTGTCGTGTCCTGTCGTCCCATGGCTGACAGTCCTGCCTTCCGCGGACTCAAATCTGGAGGAGACAAAACACAGAATTTAAACCTGTTGCATTGTACTTCTGGAATATCTCCAAGTTCATTACTTTTCTCAATAAAAGTAACTCAAGATAACATAATCATGAACATTTATCAAATAATAACCTAGTGATTTGTATTGTGAACAAAAACATGAATGAAGCAAGAGTGAATGATTTCTGCTTTTTGACACCTTCTGTGTCTAATGCAGACACACTTCCAGTTCCATCAAGATATCTTATATATTTTATCATTACACACCCAGACAAGACAATTTGGCAGTTGATTGACCTTTGGCCCAGAGATGAAGTTCATGGTGACATAATAACAGTGATACTGCACACCAACACTACAGTGACTGTACCCACCTGAAGCTTCCTTCCGCGGAGAGTTATTATTGCTACCCACTGATAGGTCCTCCGTGGAGTTCTTCAGCTGGCTTTGGAAGACTGGCAAGGGAGGACTAAACATTCCCCAGTCCCTGATGGTAACAATAAAATGGTCGTGTTTACTATGATCATCGTTGTGTGGACTTGTCCATAATGTAATGATGTCTGAACATAATATCTGGGGTACGTCAACATTTATAGCAGATATGTAGAAACAGTAATATCTGGTGTAAGTCAACATTTATAGCAGATATGTAAATACAGTAATATCTGGTGTAAGTCAACATTTATAGCAGATATGTAGAAACAGTAATATCTGGTGTAAGTCAACATTTATAGCAGATATGTAGAAACAGTAATATCTGGTGTAAGTCAACATTTATAGCAGATATGTAGAAACAGTAATATCTGGTGTAAGTCAACATTTATAGCAGATATGTAGAAACAGTAATATCTGGTGTAAGTCAACATTTATAGCAGATATGTAAATACAATAATATCTGGTGTAAGTCAACATTTATAGCAGATATGTAGAAACAGTAATATCTGGTGTAAGTCAACATTTATAGCAGATATGTAAAAACAGCAATATCTGGTGTAAGTCAACATTTATAGCAGATATGTAAAAACAATAATATCGGGAGTATGCAAACATTTATGTGGTCAATTAAAATATATTGTCAGACATAATCAGTGCATCATTGTACATCATGTACCATCTGAATAAAGGTAATATATTCTACATTCAAAATTTGTCTGGTGTTGACAAAAAATCTCTAAAGTGCCCTAAATAACTTTCTTAGTTTCAATATAATAAGGGAACTAACTCGGTACAGATAGAGACGATGGTGAAGGCCTACCTGGGTACAGATAGAGACGATGGTGAAGGCCTACCGGGGTACCGATAGAGACGATGGTGAAGGCCTACCTGGGTCCAGATAGAGACGATGGTGAAGGCCTACCGGGGTACCGATAGAGACGATGGTGAAGGCCTACCGGGGGACAGATAGAGACGATGGTGAAGGCCTACCTGGGTCCAGATAGAGACGATGGTGAAGGCCTACCGGGGTACCGATAGAGACGATGGTGAAGGCCTACCGGGGTACCGATAGAGACGATGGTGAAGGCCTACCGGGGTACCGATAGAGACGATGGTGAAGGCCTACCGGGGTACAGATAGAGACGATGGGGAAGGCCTACCTGGGTACAGATAGAGACGATGGTGAAGGCCTACCTGGGGTTTGAGGAGGTGAGCGTGTCTGTGCTGAGTCGGGATTTCATCTCATCTTGGTAGTTGTGAGGGGCGTTAGGCTGTAAGATATTAGAAAGATAACACATTTTTAACATATAATTCATTTACAGAAAAGTCAGCTCTGCATCATATACCGGTAACACTTTTCCATATTTTTTCCCCATAACGACTTTCAATGCTTCCTCCTTCTTCAAACATGTGGTACATTTCTGAATGACAATGACAATAAATAACACTACTGAATTCATTAGGCAACCATGGGATTATGAATGTCATAGGACCACATGATATATATAATGTCATAGGACCACATTATATATATCATGTGTTCCTATGACATTATATCTATCATGTGGTTCTATGACATTATATATATAAATCATGTGGTCCTATGACATTCATAATCCTATGGCAACCATGGGATTATGAATGTCATAGGACCAAATGATATATATAATGTCATTGGAACATATGATATATATAATGTCATAGAACAACATGATATAAAATGTCATAGACAACATGATATATAATGCCATAGGACAACATGATATATAACGTCACAGGAGAACATGATATATAATGTCACAGAACAACATGATATATAATGTCACAGGAGAACATGATATATAATGTCACAGAACAACATGATATATATAATGTCATTGGAACATATGATATATATAATGTCATTGGAACATATGATATATATAATGTCATAGGATAACATGATATATAATGTCAGAGGACAACATGATATATAATGACACAGGACAACATGATATATAACGTGACAGGACAACATGATATATATATATAATGTCATAGGACCACATGATATATATATATAATGTCATAGGACCACATGATATATAATGTCATAGGACCACATGATATATGTTTTCATCTGCAGAGTAGTTGGCCGTGGCACTGACTAAACAAACCAGAGTCTATTCAATTAATAACTGGATCTTTATGCCTAAAAATATGTTATTGATTAGTTACTAAGATTAAAATCATTTGTAATTAGGTATCTGTGTATTGAATTTTTATTGTTGTTTTTTCCTCTGACTACATCATATCAATATGCAAATGATATGTGATGTTCCATCAGTTGAACATCTCCAATATATTACAGAAGGAAATCTGATCTTTATCAAAAATATTCTATAAAAGCCATAAATGCAAAATTAATGATTATCATTTTTTTAAGATGGCTTTCTAATACCATGTCCACCCTGTTATAAGCCCAATAGTCCAACACCTAATCACGGACTAAATGTACAGGGGCTGGCTTACTGTTATAGGTAAGTGAAATAGCATTTATTGTCATTTCTACTGAACTGCAATATATATAGGTGGGCTTATTGTCAGATAAAGTGGTGAAGGGGACTATAAACACCACTGGAGTTACAGGAATTACTCGTGATACAGTACGATCAAAAGTGACAGAGAAACCAGATGGTTATTCACTTACGGGAGCCTGCCAAGTACTGAGACTTGTGTCATCATCACTGGTCAAGGTAGGCGAGAAATCATACAGGTTACGAGGGTTTTGCTCCTGTGTCAGTGTCGAGTGGGGACTCTTATTCAGGGGCATGCTGGGGGCGGTTTGTTTCCTTGGCGACTCGACCACATCCTCCAGCTCCTCGTCATTATGGCGTTTCATACTGGATAACATTTTGGCTTCAAACGATTCTGTGATGTCTGCCATTTGGTACTTTGAAAAGTCATATGGCTTCTATGAAATAAATGAAAATCAATATTGAAGAAATATAAAGAAAATATATATCACCGAGTTTCTTATTTTGAAAACATTAGGTTACAGATATATTTATCAAACATCTCTATCTCTAAGTAACTCTTGAAATAGATACACATGTACATTTGGTATTTTTTGTGAGTATCTTATTTTCGCTATTTTAGCAAAATAATGAAATCACAAATAAAGGTATGCATATTTTATCACATACCAATAAAATGACCATGTACATACTTACAGGATAACATTATCATGGAGATGAAAAAAAGCCAAAAACTAAAATGCATATAAATTATTAACTTTTCGACGAATTCGCAAAATTTGCATAAATAATTTGATTTATGATATATATACATTATGTACACAGTCATCAAAATTGTTAAATCAGAAATTTAAAATTTGTATAAAATGGAAAAGTATAAAATGAGTATCAAAATACAGAATACATAGCATAGGAAGGGGAGGTAATTTTATAAGTTTTTAAGTTTTGTGAAGAAAATAGTTTAGTTTTCACAGATATGATGAAAATTGGTGGGACCAATTCTTCTGTTTCTTACCTCAGAAGATTTTAACCTGGCATCATTCATTGGAATCTCACGTAAAGATTTCCGACTCATTCTGGACATGGAATTGTTGGATAAATGTCCGTTATTCAATCCAGGAACTTGTAATACTGATGTGTTGGAGCTGAATCGGAGTTCAGGACTTTCATTGGCAATCTGTGGCTGTACTGGACTTAAAACTGTCCGCGCAATCTTTTTCTCCAAACCAGATTTAGGACTGACAGCCATATTGTTCATACCACTTCTGATTGTACCACTGGGATTTCGGCTACTGGTGCCACTATGCGTGCCACTTTGTGGCTGACTGTTTGTGCCACTATGAGGTCGACTGTTTGTGCCACTTTGTGGCCGACTGTTTGTGCCACTATGTGGCCGGCTATTTGTGCCGCTATGTGGCCGACTGTTTGAACCACTGTTAGGGCGAGATCCCGTTAACTTTTTCCGCACGTGTATGTCATCATCCTCACTACTGGAATTGTTATTATAAAAATCCTCCTCGGGACGAGCCCCTCTGGCCATGTCCTTTGAAACTTTCTTTGAATTCCTTGGCAGTGACAATGTTCTTGACTGTAAAATCAACAAAATTTTACTGAACATTCATATCAACAAGAAAACTAGTTAATAATATGCAAACTTTAATTTACCTTCATAAAGTTTCAGAACTTCCTTCATAAAATTTCATATCACCAGACCAGCATACTCTGTTGGCAAATACTACCCTGCTAATTTAAACTTTTGACATTTGAACCCACCACAACTTCAGTGAATTTATCCAACAGTGAATATTGATACACAACATATTATATAAAGTCATTGCATTTAAAGGGTGAAAATAATGTGTTTTTTCATTATGATACAAGACCTTATTGTTTAGAGTCAATAAGATAGCATACTAGGAAAATAGCATTAGGCCAAGGAAAAATGTTTTCAATATTCTTGTCTGAGGTTTAATCAATAGCATGTGATGAAAGACAGATAAATCTCAACAGAAAGTTAGCTACCCCAGGTTGGTTTAATTGTATCAATCTATTCTGAACTCATTTTGAAAGGTTTATTCACCAATCAGCTTTGATACAATTATTTTTAATTGTTACCAAATTTTACCTGTGACGAGGAGTCAAGATCCAGACCACTGTCTGCCTGGCTAGGTGATAAATGGCGCCGGGGTGCCGACTTTGGCCGTGACGCAAACAGGAAAATGTTGTCTCTGTTGCCATTATCTTCCCTATAAAAATTACATAAATTCAATTACAACGCAGGAACATGTTAATAAGAATTAAGATTACTAAGACAAACATTGTTATCTTTAATTTCAATTAGTAACAATTATCATAAGAAACCTTAATAACAAAGAGAGATGATATCTTTACAAGGTACACGATGATCCAGATATACACATTCTGATACAAATTTGGGTTTCACTTGGAAGTTAACCTAAATATATCCATTTGAACTCTTACAGCGGTCAAAGACATCTTTTCAAGTTTCTGTAACTTGCAAAGAAGAGGCAAAATAATCTAATGTTCATTTTATACAATCCAAAGAGAAAAGATAACTACACATCAAAGATATAGCTTATAAAGAAACTTTTATACAAAAATAATATAAGTGTTTAAAAAATAGGATACCGTAAAACCTCTATATAATGTCCCTTGTTTATTTACCACTTCACTTAATGCCAACATGCAATGTAATTCAATGTTCCTTTCTTGTTTTCTTAAGAATTCTTTTTATACATTTTTCAGTTTATTGTCAAACCCCTTTATAATGCCAACATAAAGAGTGGCAGTATAACGAAGTTTTAATGTACTAGTATTACTTTTTGATATTTATACTTTGCAAAGAAAAGGACAAACAGCAAAATAATATCATACATCATGAAAATTCATGTAAAAGGTACACTTCTACTTTGTTTAGTTGGCAATCTAAATAATAAATAAAAATAAAGAAGAAAAAGATCACTTACATTATAAAGATTGATTTTGTTTTTATCTCACAAACTACACAATACATTCTCCAGCATGTCAATCATACATACTCATCACTCTCCTCATACTCCTCCCGTCCCAGATCCTCAGCCGAGCTATCCTCCTCGTCCGTCAGATCATCCCAGTCCTGTCCCATCCTACCCCCTAGACCTGCCTTCTGTTTCAGCAGTTCTATCACATTGCTCATGGAATCGTCCAACAGCTCCGGTTTGTCTTCCAGATAGTCCTCACAGTTGTACTCTGTAAAGGAGCAAACATGTGTTATAAATATTTAAATGAGCAGATATGTTCTGGGGTGATTAAAATAAGATGTTTAAACAAGTGCTGAAGCTTCCTTAAGAATACTTATGTAAGAATTCCATGGTCTTTTTTCAATACACAAATTATTTCTTTGAGTTACTAACAAAAAATAAAGTTTTTTTTCAAACGGACAACAGGATTTTATAACAGTGTAGAACTAAAGAGTGAAATCCTTTGATGTACCTAACAGCCAACAGTTCAGTTATAAATGTATTCAGTGCCTAGGTATATGACCACAGTGACAGCAGGGAGTACATTTGTAAGGAGCCCATAAAATGGAACTATTTTTGAAGCATTGCAGTTGTAATGCCCTACGTAGCAACATTGATAAAGCCTGTGTGTCAAGGTCCCAAGTTAGACCCTGCTGCCTTTGTGTTCTTTTTTTATTCCTTTTTTCAAAAAATCCAATTTCGAACCACAATAATTCTGTAAAATGCAAGGCAAAATGTGATTTGTACAGGTCACTTCTTTTGAAAAGGGCTTAAATATGAATACTTCACAGTAGTGACAATGGTACTGTTACAGTTTCAATAGTTGGTTTATTTCAACTTAAATTATTTTACTTCTTACCAAAAATTTGAACCTCCCTATGACAAGCATGCATGATAATAATTGTACACAGTACAGTTTAAAAAATAAAAATATTATGTGTTAACAATGACACTTTGTATACCCTTTGAAGTCTTGGGACTCAGTCTTTCATATGAATCTTGACCCGAGGCTCCCACCCCTTTGAAGCAACCTCCCGACGATTTCCCCTTTGAACGGTCAGAGACCCTCGGTACCACCTGTGGCTTCACACCACGCGCCATCTCGGCAGATCTGTTACGGCTTGCTGAATCTGTTGTATTTTCACTGCCGTCAGACAAATTGAGGTCGCCATCTGATATCAAGCGTTGGCGATGAGGGGTGGTACTACTTTTTTGACTACTGTATCCAGACTCAGATAGATGTGATTGCACACTTGGACCAACACTCATGTTCTCATCTTAAACATAACACAAAGCAGAGCTGATAAGAATAAGCATTTTGATGATTAATCGAAATCATACTGTTTTATTCCATCAGATCAAATTACTTGATTTGTAAACTGCCTCCTTTACCAATCATGTAATTGCTCTTAGCCTCTACCTAGCTTATGTTAAAGCTCTTAGCCTCTACCTAGCTTATGTTAAAGCTCTTAGCCTCTACCTAGCTTATGTTAAAGCTCTTAGCCTCTACCTAGCTTATGTTAAAGCTCTTAGCCTCTACCTAGCTTATGTTAAAGCTCTTAGCCTCTACCTAGCTTATGTTAAAGCTCTTAGCCTCTACCTAGCTTATGTTAAAGCTCTTAGCCTCTACCTAGCTTATGTTAAAGCTCTTAGCCTCTACCTAGCTTATGTTAAAGCTCTTAGCCTCTACCTAGCTTATGTTAAAGCTCTTAGCCTCTACCTAGCTTATGTTAAAGCTCTTAGCCTCTACCTAGCTTATGTTAAAGCTCTTAGCCTCTACCTAGCTTATGTTAAAGCTCTTAGCCTCTACCTAGCTTATGTTAAAGCTCTTAGCCTCTACCTGGCTTATGTTAAAGATCTTAGCCTCTACCTGGCTTATGTTAAAGCTCTTAGCCTCTACCTAGCTTTTGTTAAAGCTCTTAGCTCTACCTAGCTTATGATAAAACAAAGATATTTAAGAACCATATAAGAAGTCTCCAAAATTCAAAAAAAGTATTTGTGCTATATACGAAAATTATTGAAACTCAATTTTGTTTTTTCCCATTACAGTTGAAATATTGAATTCCCTATTCCAAAACCTTAAGCCCTGTTTTTGATTAACTGTATAAGAAACCCTATCAATGTGTAACTGTCATTTTACTAGTTAACATACCTGTCACAGATCCAGCACTGGAAACACGGTCCTTACCGACCCCGCTACCTCCATTCTTCACACGTATTTTTCGTCGTAGTCGGTCATTTGATGGCTCACGAGGAGGGTGGGGCTGTACCATAGAAAAATCCTGCTTGGGTTTGTCTGAAAACAAATGTATAAAATATCATCCACTTGACAGGAAAATATTGCTTTTCCTCCTCTCTTTACACCTGTTTACTATTTCAAAACCAAATATTACAGTTACTATAAAAGATATACGAAGGAAGTATTACAAACTATTACTAGTGATTTCTTACACATTATCTATGGGCTGTTCCAGAAAAAAAGACATCCCCCCCTGGGACGGCAAACTTTTTTTGTTAACGTGGGGGGTTGAACATTGAATAAAATCGTAGTTATTGGTTGTTGTTGTTGTTGTATTTTCGTTTCTGTGGGTCGTTGTACGTTGGAGAAATAAAAAAAAATATTTAAAAAATAAATAAAACCTGATTAATTGATTTACATGGTGGTGTGATATGAAAATATCTGGTTGAAGCTCAGATGTAGATTTGCGTTTTTGAAATACGTGCTGAAACTTTGGCAGCGTGACATTACTGTATCGCTTGCAAGTTGCTTCCGGTATGTGGGTCAAGGGACGCAACTCCTATGATAAAAAAAATCAATCTTGATAGAGGGCGCTGTTATCACTCTTCACAAAAATGGCTGCCCATTCGCGTGGTTAGAGCCCGGAAGATGTGGGAAGATGGATGGCGAGGCATGGTTTAGGCCAATTTTCTGCCTCGTTTATCGCATTCTCTATGTATATAATATATAGCAAAAGCACAAAAAGAATACAACACACATATATATATATTAAACTAAATTTTAGTTTATTTATATCAAATGATAGTAAAACAACGGTAATTATTTAATTTAATAGTATATGGGTATAAATTAACTATTTAAATAACATGGTATGTGGGTACTACTTTTTTTTTTCCTTTTTTTTAAACTAAAAATCAATTGTGGGTCGTTGGTATGGAACAAAATTCGTAATTACGGGTGGTAGGGGTCAGCTGGTTATTGAAGTTATGGGTGGTAGGGGTCTGGAAAAAGTGCCGGCCCAGGGGGGGATGTCTTTTTTTCTGGAACAGCCCTATGCCTAGAACTTCCCTAAGAAGGTTTTTTTATCATATACCGACACATTATTTTTCAGCTCACCAATTCGGGACATCATTTCCAGATCGACCTGCGAGAGAGAGTCCGAGCCTTGTCTCTGGTGGGAGGGCTGATGGACAGAATCTTCCCGGCTGTGATCACTCCCACTCAGAAATCCGTCCTTACTTGCTATACTAGACGACAACTCAAAATGCTCCTCAGACATGTCTGTCAAATATAAGGTAATCAACAACTGAAATCATCTGTATCCTTGTATAACACAAGAGGCCCAATGGGCCTGCATCGCTCACCTGGTATAAATCTCACACTTGCAACCTTAAAAGTGATCTAAAATAAAGCTACAGGCAAAATATCAGTATTTATGATTAAAGTCATTCAAAAGTACATTTTAAAAGATTTTAAAACATTTCACCCCTGTAGCTTTGAAAGTCGAACAAAGTCATTATGTTGAACAAATCTTATAGCCTTTCATCTCAGGATGCAACTTGCAAAGTATCAACATCCTGGGACCGATGGTTATTCAGAAGAGGTCGTTTAAAGATTTTAAAACAAATTTGACCCCTGTGACCTTGAATATAAGTCAAAGTCATTCACTTTAACAAACATAGTAGTCCTTGATCCCAGCATGCTTCTGACTAAATATCAACATCCTGAGCCTTTTGGTTATTCAGAACAAGTTGTTTAAGTATTTTGAACATATTTGCTCCTTTTGACCTTGAATATGAGTGAAGGTCATACATTTAAACAAACTTGGTAGCCTTTGATCCTAGTATGCTACTGACTAAATATCATCCCCCTGGGCATTTTGGTTATTCAGACGAAGTTGTTTAAAGTTTTAACATATTTGACCCCTGTGACCTTGAATATGGGTGAAGGTCATTCATTTGAACAAACTTGGTAGCCCTTCAACCAAGCATGCTACTGGCCAAATATCATCTCCCTGAGAAGTTTGGTTATCGAGAGGATAGTTAAAGTTTTTAACATATTTGCCTCCTGTGCCCTTGAAAATGGGTGAAGGTCATTCATTTGAACAAACTTGATAGCCCTTCACCCAAGCATGCTACTGGCCAAATATCATCTCCCTGAGAAGTTTGGTTATCGAGAGGATATTTAAAGTTTTTAACATATTTGACTCCTGTGACCTTGAAAATGGGTGAAGGTCATTAATTTTAACAAACTTTGTAGCCCTTCATCCCAGTTTGCTTCTGGCCAAATATTGACACCCTAGGCCTTTCGGTTATTAAGAAGAAGTTGTTTAAAGTAAAATATTGACGCCGGACGGCAGACGGACGAAGCGCCACGGCATAACCAGTGGGTTATTGTGCCAGTGTATAAATTTCACTAAGCATTTCAACCTTGTTGTTGATTCTGAAAATCTGTACAATACACTTTAAGAAAATTTAAGATGAATGCTTCTGATTTCTTAATCTTACTATTCAATTTCAATCATTCAATAATATTTCAATTTTCAATAAAACAAATTGTTAAGATTCTCCAAATTCACATCATGCTGGATAGGAATGTTGAGCTTTAAAAGTGAGCTCAAAGTCATACTTGTTAAAGGGTAAATACAGCCTTATCAATTAAAATGTGAACAATTATAAAAAATATCTATAAAATGAAGTCGGCCATAAAAAAAAGATTACTTACATAGCTAGGCTTTCGACTCACCTTCTGTTTGAGAATCCATACGGGAGTACGTACTTCTCACACTTCTGTTGGTCATGTTGCCCTGTAAAATTCATCAACGACAAAATCATTCATATACTGTCAACTATTGAATAAAACAACTCAAACTGATAGTGGAGAACTCTTGTTACATGTATCTATAAACCTGAAACCATTGAAGCTAACTGCCTGTTGGACATATTTTGAACAGTCATGCTGATGTCACACAAGAAAGATTTTGCTGTTACAGTAACCAAATGTGCATTTATGGTTTTTAGATATGTTTGGTAATATTATCATAATCTTTCAGAATTAAAAATGGATATATATAATAGTGAATCAATGAATCTAGGGTAAACAACAACATTTTTTTTATTCATGTCCGATTTAAGAGGATTATTTATTATTTATTTATTTTGTGACACCTGTTGGACCTTACCTGCGCTGACTTCCTGCTCGTGTTCTGACTAGTCGTTTTACCCGGTACCTTGGAACCAAATGCTATGTGGAACGAATCATTGAGGGATGTCCTGCGTCCACTGGAGTTCAAATCTAAATGAACGTTATGATAATTGTCATTGTTTTACTGACACAGTCACAAGCTATCTTAGTTATGTCACAAGCTATCTTAGTTATGTCACAAGCTATCTTAGTTACGTCACAAGCTATCTTAGTTACGTCACAAGCTATCTTAGTTACGTCACAAGCTATCTTAGGTGTAACTAGAGAGGATCACATACATATCTACATCAACCGGGCTAATTTCCTTTGATTTTGCCTTGAGCAATAGACCTGGTCTCGGGAAACCAGAAATTTTCTATATCCCTCAATCCAATACTTTAACTGTGTACTATGTCGGGTGATAGACCTGTTCTTTGGGAACCAGAAACTTGCTATATCCCTCAAGCTCGTACTTTGACTGTGTACTATGTTGGCTGATAGATCTGGTCTCAGGGATCTAGAAACTTGCTATACCCCTCAAGCCAATACTTTGACTGTGAACTGTATCAGGTGATAGAGCTGGTCTCTGGGAACCAGAAACTTGCTGTATCACACAAACTCGTACTTAAATTGTGCACTAGTTATCAACAACGATGATATGTAAATAAACAAATTAAATTTAAAAAAAAATCTTCCACAGAAAGATTCCATTTCTGAACTCTAAAATTCCTTGATCAATCAAATATTTAGAAAAACTAGAAAATGTCTGTAATACATAAATGCCCTCGCTCATGGATGGGACGCGACGGGACGGGCAGACATTGGCAACACTATATGCCCCCCCCCCCCACCATATCTGATGTTTAAGGCCTCGCCATACCTAGTTCCAGTGTGGCTGATGCATGATTCACATCTCCACTTCCGCCCCTTAATCTCTCACCATGTCGGATCTTCGTCAATGTAAGCAGCTGAAATTAGCAACACATTTAATCAATAAAGATATCAATTTGCCAGAATTTTGAATACATGTATTCGTATTCATATGTTGAACTCGTACTTATATGTTGAATTGTACAGGTCTACAGTATATAATAATATAAGACTGTATAAGAAATCAAATAGTAATAATATCAATGTAATGCATTTCAGCACCGAGATAACATGGAGAGCACATTTTCCTTTTTGTTTAATAGGACAAAAAGCTAACTGTACTACTTACCCACTTAATAATACAAAACCAATTTAACATAGCAACACATGTTCAATGCCACAACCTGGCAATCTGATTCCATGGTCTGCTGAAATTAGTTGAAAATGTGTTGCAAATTGAAGGCATAACATTAAGTTTTCATAACACAATGGTAAATGCAGTGTGACTTTGTTAATCAAATCTCTGATGGTCGAAAGGAACAGTAAACTGCCTTCCTGGATACTGACCTAATGGTATACATATATACATAATCTGATTTCCAAGTCACTGAACAATCAGATCCTTTTTAATCTGGCTGATTGTTATTTGAGAAAATTCTTTTGAAAGCAAAGTCTTCCTTAATAATTTTACTGTATAGTAATACACATGTGGAAATACACCTTGATATCACTGTAAACTATTATACAATGTTACATGTATTATTGGAACGTTCCTTCAACCAGTTGAAAGTAGCCAATAGTATCTGGCTGGACAGCATTGTGCTGGTTTTCCGATTCATTTCGTAGTGCTAGTCTAGCTTCTGTATTATGTTTGCATGAAACTAACGGCAAGTGAAGCATGTGGATATCCATGTATGTTTGACAGGGTCCCTGCCGGTTAAAACATTCGATTGAGTCATTTAGCCTGTTGTATTTTACTTTTTCAAAATATAAACAATAACACCAAGACTGAAAGATAATTGTTTTCACCCTTCACAGGTGTGTCTCCCTCTTAAGCTGAAAAAGATCAGCTTGTCACCCCGCTAGTGAGAGATAGCCACGTGCAGAATTGCGTTATCTAAGTCATAATAATAGTATGACGTCACGTCATCAATGCATTGACGTCACGTCAACAGAAGCAGACCATAGAAGACGACTTTGGATTTGCTCGAAAAACATCCAATCAACGCTTATATTTCATGCAATCACCGCTTGTTGGCGGATTTTTGAGTGAAACAGGAAGGGAGAAAAACACTCATCCTCTACCTTAAGGGAAAGCCTCGGGTAAGACAATAAAGAATACCATCCCTCTGGTTGGAGATTTCTCTGTCACAACCTCAAGGTAGGGGAAGATTCTAATAATCACAACACAGGACTTGACATTAAGAGAGAAATGATATGATGACAATTGTACTGTACCTGTGTTATTTGCTGGACATCGTTGGCCAGTTGACAAGACTTGGGGATCTGGTCAAGTTCTCCAGAATTACTTGGTGGGCAGCCATACATCTCTATGGTAAAACAAGACAGTAACAGTTAAATAAATAAAATTCAGATTGAAGACACGTCTTAAATTAAGTACCATATTTTACCGGTGACAAGCCCACGTCTGGTAATAAGCCCACTCTCCCAACATCATCTTCGTTTTAGAGCAATCAAATTAGTGTTTTATCAATTCTTACTAGATTAGCATATTCATTAATTGGTGCACCCATCATATAGGAGATATAAAAAAATATACAGAAATAGCGCAATCCTAACTAAGCTTAATAACTAAACCTGATAAAAAAGATTGCTGCTAAAATCTGGAAATAGTACAATATGCATGTTGCAGGGTTGAATACCACTTACAATTTCTATTTATTTAAAACATAGTTTCTGCTTTAATGGAATGAAAACCTACCCTCATCCTCTGCTGTGTCGGGTGGCTGGGTCTTCATGGTGAAGATGCGACGAAGTTTACAGTTGGCCGAGACACTGATGCTTTGTGTTGCCTTGTATGTCTGTCCCCGCCAAGTCTCGCCCACCAACGACACCATGTCTATACACATGTTCAGCCACTGAAACAAGATACAAACACCTTGTACAGTAACGTTTTTTCAAGTTTTATGTTGTAGGAAACAAGCTAATGCTAACAATTGTTGTATAAGAGGTTCTTCTTGTCAGATATGAGAAATATTTATAAAAAAATTCTGAAGCCTGTTTTTCCTTGATAACAAAAAAATCACTTTTTCAAGTCAAATTGAAATGCTGTATTTTTCCTGTAATAAGTATACTACAACCATATTCCATGCCGAGTTAATTCTGTTAAATCATTTTTCATCCTGTGTTCAATTCATCCTCTCATTCTTCCATTATTTGGCTGGAGACTTCTCCAGAAAAGACAAGAATACCGAACATGAGAATTGACCCTTCGCATATCTAGGAAAAGATAACTTAATCTTTGAAACGCCTAAATGTCAAAGGTAAACAGATCTCTGAAAATGCTAAATGTCAAGGGTCAACACACAGATTCAAAACCTCTGGGAAAGCATGCAGATAGTACCACAGAATAAGAATCTTGGCATCAAGCAAGATATATGTATGCAAGTCCAGAATTAAATAGATTTCATATTGGCTAATATCAAACCTAAAACCTCTGACTTACAATACTTCTCCGTACAATGGTGAGGGGAATCTTGGCATGGAGAGGGGTAACCTGGGTCTCCTTCTGTGCTGTAGAGAAGTGTAGTCGCCTCTTGTTATTGCCCAAGTCTGCAACTCTGTAAAATAAACAGCATTTAGTTCCAAACTTTTGTCACTATTAAATGCTTAGTTTGTTTTAAACACAAACAGGAATTGAAAACTTATTTGCGAGCTTTTGAAAACGTCTGTTTCCTTTGTCGAGCAAAAAGTGCAAATGACTAGTGTCTCGACTTTAACCACTGAAAACAAAAGTTAACTCACAAAAGCCATTAAAACTTATAACTTTTATAACTTATAAAAGCTATTTACTTTTAAACAGAAAATAAAGCATGTAATAATATAACGGTACATGTAGCAATACCTGATTCTATACCTACCCTAGCTCAATGGAAAGATCTTGGCCCTTTGCAAGGTGAAGTTGTATGACTAAGTAGCGCTGGATCAGGGGAACTGTGAGGAAGAAAACATGTAGCATGTTGTAGTGAAATCATCCGTCCAAGCTTAACTTAATTCATTATTCCAAACTTTCTCTAAAAGGACATAGGTAAAACATTTTTGGTAAAGTTGGCAATGCGAGATAGGAATCAATTTTTTACCACTTAAATTTAATATGCTAGTCCTCATCAATATTTCCTTTTGGGACTTTTCCATAAAATAAGAAAAATATTTGATTTTACGTAGAAATGGGTAGTGGGCAAAGTTTTCGTGAGCCCCATCCTAGGGCAATCGGTAACTATTATTTTAGACCCACCAATCACATACATATTTTCAAACTTTTAGAAGTGCCCCTCTGAAATCCAAAATAGATTAATGGATAGATTGGTAGTCTTTTACTGCCCTAAGATTGGTAGTCTTTTACTGCCCTAAGATTGCTAGTCTGTCACTGCCCTAAGGTTGCTAGTCTGTCACTGCCCAAAGATTGCTAGTCTGTCAGTGCCCTAAGATTGCTAGTCTGTCAGTGCCCTAAGGTTGCTAGTCTGTCACTGCCCTAAGATTGCTAGTCTGTCACTGCCCTAAGGTTGCTAGTCTGTTACTGCCCTAAGATTGCTAGTCTGGCACTGCCCTAAGATTGCTAGTCTGCCACTGCCCTAATATAAGATTGCTAGTCTGGCACTGCCCTAAGATTGCTAGTCTGTCACTGCCCTAAGATTGCTAGTCTGTCACTGCCCTAAGATTGCTAGTCTGTCACTGCCTTAAAATCGTGAGTTTGACTCATAATTTGAAATCACTAATTTTTCGTGTGGTTTTAAAATTTGCTGATTTCGTGGGTAATCTTCATCCATGCATTCATAGGTCCACAAAGTTATTACAAGTTTGATATGAAGCCATTCTCTGTTTGAGTGGGTACTCGTAATCCATGAATTCATGTAGCCAAAAAATGGTGTTTTGTTGGAAACCACAGAATTTGGGCCCCACGAAAATATCTGATCACATAGTGATATTTTGCACTATCATCTGAACTTTTGAAAGATTTCTTCCAATGTTTTTTTTATTCAGCTGATACTTATTGTTTTATGTATAAGTCACTTTAATGGTGAGTAATTGGGAAAACATGACCATTTTCTGCAATATACTGGTGAATATGTCAATCCTTTTTACCTGCTTGTGACTGGTCCTTAGGGAAGTGGACCTTTGTGGTCGATGGTGTCCCCTCCAAACTATAGATATAGCTCTTCACCTCCTTATCATATACCTGGAGAAAATAACGTTCATGATCACACTGTCTCAATAATTCTTACATTCCTGACATAAGATCTAAATACGAGGCAGTAAAATGAGCTAAACCAATTTGAATTCTGGGACAGTGGTTATCAATGGCATGATCTAACAATGCTTCTTCTTACAATTATCCGCCTGCTTAAAATTCACTAATTCCTTCAAATGTGATAGGACACTACATGTGATAATTGTACTGCCATGCTTAGACAACAAAAAGGCTACCAGGTTTGTTTTTTTGTATTTAAATTTCTCCAATTTTTTCACCAAAACATGCTTTTGCAGCTGTTTGTCATGTTACAGCCAAGTGATAGTGGGGTTTTTTCAAGTCTGCTTGATTGTGAATTTTTAGTACATTTTTGTACTCAGAAACCTCTATTCCCAAAATGTTCAATATAATCACCAAGTTCTACACTAGTAACGTTTTGTATACACTCACACAAAGCCTCAATATTCCGAGGATGCTATTCCAGGATTCATTGGAGACATACATGCAATGGTTTACAATATTATGTTAATTTTATCATTTTCATACCGTTGTTCATCTAGTTCACTAATACTTCTTAAGTAACGTTTAATGTAAGCTTCCTCTGAAGCAGATTTTGCCAACATGTACAGATGTATTCTGGTAACAAGCCACATTAATGAGAACTTATGGGACGGGAGATAAGTATCTCGAAAATTCCATTATTAAACTTTGAATCAAACCCAAACAATCTAAGTGTCCCTAGACTAGTTACTAAGCCTCTGTACCAAAATGCAATCCCCCTTGAATTACCCCCATTACGATGGTTAAGTATAGAACATCATCATACCTTCTTAACGCCACCACTGAACTTCCAATGAGCAGACGATTCTTTTCCTTGTAAGGTAAGAACTTCAAAAAAAGGTCCACCCTGAAGAAAGAAACATGTTAGAATAAATTTCCATGAATAAGTCAAGAAATATATTTTTTGGTTTTTCAGTAAATCTTTTGAATCAAAATAACTGTTGCAAACCAAAACAATGCAAAAAATACACATTACCATTAACTCTAATGGAGATGCATCATTGACATTTCTATGGCCAGTCGGTACATACTACAGTATGGCTGGCAGAACCTGTACTTTATCTAGACCTTTTGGTCTCTAATAGTAATAGAAATACAGTATGGTGGCCTTGGGGACCATGTGACAGTATGCCAAAGTTATGTTGTTATTGTCAGTGACAACATGATGTTTCTATGGTACATTAACTGCAGTGTACATTTAAGCAGTATCTATATCCAACTGTATGCTGTTTAATCTGCAATGTCTGGTAAGCAGGCATCACACTGATGTGAGCATCCACCAAGTTAATCATTATTCAGTGATACCAAGAACTAATACCAAAAGTAAACCTAAGACCTATCAAATAATTAAAACAACTCTATGAGGAAACTCTTAATACCTTTGAACCTCTGTGTAAAGCTTTCAAGTAATATAAGGTTTCAACTTAAAAAAAAATGCAATGGGGCCAGATCATAATTCAAACTTTGGACCTCTAGACTCCAAAACAGACAATTTAACCAACTGTGCTATATATGTTGATATTACAACAGGTATATAGTCATCTTGTCAAATTCCTCAGCACATGCAACTCCCTCCTTTTTCTTAGTCATTGTAATTGCCCCCAATCATGAATGACAACACTTCTCAAACAAACATCTCTTAAAAAAGGGTTTTTCACAACACTAAAGTAATGCAACAGGAGAGGGAAAATGCAATGGAGCTAGACACCAGTATTCCAACACAGGACCTTCCAGAGGGACATTCTAATTAATCATTATGGAAAGAATGGTCATTTGTCTGATGAAGGTGACAATGTACATATCGTACTAGTCATAGAAACGTCACATAGAAAATGTTATTGGTTGTGTAAAAAAAGAACTTTTCATAATCCATACTTACCAACCTGAAGAAAATGTTTAGAAATATCTAATTAATCATAGGTTTTTTTACATGAAAGAAACCAAATTTCATCGTCTCGGTAAAATATAAGCAAGATAAAAAGAAATTTAAATGCACATCTTGCAATAATCCCTATGTGTTGCAATACGCAGTTAAAATATAGCATAGAGCTCAAACACGAATAGAAACAAAGAAAAAAATATGCAATTACCTGGTATTCATTTTTGAACATGATGCTTTTATCTAGCTGCTTATTTTGTTAATTTCCGTATAGAAAACAACAATAACAGTTATCCAGTTTTTATATGCACATGCTCCCGAAAATATTAATGGTGTGTGCACGTATTTCTGTCATTTTCATGGAATGATTCAAATATTCCAATAATAGCTGACAATTTTTGCAAGGTCATTTTGAATATCTTAAGTTCAACATATTGTCATTTGTTCCTTAAAAGTACTTAAGTAACTTTTTGAAACTTCAGAAAGCACCGAAATCTTTCACTTTGACAAATCCTGGCCGAAGTGTCCTCGAAACTGTTCTTTGATTATCAGAGTTCGTCTTCGCGTAAGACATTAGTCGTCGCCAGCTTTTCATTAAATGTGCTTCAAATATGATATATATCGACAGTGTGTCGATAAATCTTTTAAGTTGCTCTCCAAACATAACAAAAATTATCCAAATGTGCCAAGTTTGCAAACAAAAGTTTCGGAAGTTCCATTCCTGTCCTCCATTTTGGTTGCTACTGAGTCTGTGCGTCCCCATAAACCAATCAAATTTGTCGTTACATACTGAAGTAAATAACGCATATGATTTACGCACCTTCATGCCTTCCCCTCAAATGAACTTCATTATTGCATGCGTCTAGATTTTCAGGTAAAACCAACGTGCCCGCGATTGTTGTTACAGGTTGGACTGTATTTCACAAGAAAAAGATAAAAATGTCAGGAAGAGAAGGTAATGCTCTCACAATAGAACTGTGATTTAATCTATGAAAATGTGTTCAAATTTTAAGAATAATAACAGTCATCGCTCCGTACTAGGAGATTAGTTCCTTTATGTGAAAGAAGAAGAATATGTTGTGAAATCCAATGAGTAATGTAACATGATTTAAATCTAGCCAGCTTAGAACGTCTGTAGGCAGTGGCTTTATATAATTCTGCCAAACTCAAATGATGAATGTCATGGCTGTATTGTTGACGATGTTCTCTTTTTATATGATATTGGTACAGCAAATTAAATAGGGTGTGCTTTTTTAGAGAGGAAAAACGGGGGGGGGGGGGGGGGCTACAGTTACCATGTTAGCCTTCTGCTTATTGTTTAGTGTGGTCACGGAATTAGATTATCTAGGTCCGTGGTGTGGTATTGGTTTGAGAATTAGGAATTGTTCTGGCCCCAACAATAATAGATGTGCAGTGGAACTAGACTGGTAGCTCAATGACAAATGGCTATGGTTAGAGCAACCTTCTACTGTCTATAACGTTAGAATTCCGAGGCCCTGGGTTCAAATCCCAATGAACTGATGTTAGAGGTTTAACACAGCAAGATACCTTTGAACAACTCTGTGTAACCATTAACTTCTATTCCCATAGCTGATTTTCTTGGTGCTGAAAATCAAAATTTCAAAGATCGTATTTTAAGAAAAACATAGGGTTTTTACTTGCATTTCTGTGTTCAACAGGGTCCAATAAATATTATTTTCCACAAATCCATTCTGAATTCAGAAGAAATCTTTGTCAAAGACATAATAACGTGTTTTCATCATTCAAAGAGAAGTAGACCACCTTCAGAACATGTACACCAACTTGAATTGCAATAGCTTAATTATCAAAAATTCTTCCAACTTAGATTGTTTTAAATGTACTCCATTGCAGCTGCTGCACTGCAAATTGTATTTTGATAAGCAGACAAAAGTAGAAAATGGCATTAATTTGAAGATATAGCTTGTGATTAAATACATTTCATATCACAGCTACCAGTCCGTTTGAATGACATTTATATCATAAATAATCAGTTCATGAAGAAAGTAGATAGACTGAGACATACAAGCAGTTATACACATATGTTGTTAAATTTACTGAAATTTATTCTGATTCATAATAATATACCTTGATGCCAGAAAGAAGGCTGGTGTTCGAACACTTTCATTGACTGCTTTAATTTGCATCCATGGTCTTATCATGATCAGAGCACATGTTACTTAGTTGTACGACTTTTTGGTATATTATTAACCAGTTTTTGTCATATTTATCATATTCATCTGTTTATATAATAATAATACTTTATTTTTTGACATCTAGGAGGAAAAAAGAAGCCTTTAAAGGCTGCAAAGAAACAACAGCAGGATCTTGATGATGTAAGTAGCAGGGTTCACCAGTAATGGTAGCCCTTAATGGAGGCAGACCACATAACAAGATAATATATTAAGGCGAAAAGTAGTAGTCAGTAGTCAGTTTTAATTTATTTGTCTAGTGTTTATCTGGTAAAACTACCAAAAAATTCTCAAACACATTAATTGGTTTTGTTCAGTGGACAAAATGTATGGAGAGCCAGTGATTTTTATTTAGGTCACCTGATCATGAGCTTTGCTCAAGTGACCTATCCTGATCGCTTTCCGTCCGTCATGCAAAACTTTTTACCTTTTTGACTTCTTCTTTTTCAAGTTATTTTCAAACTTGGTGAGAATCATCCTTGGTGGATGATGGTATTACATTGAAAAATTGGGATTCCTGGCCCAACCCCAGGGGCTAGGACGGGGCCCCAAATGGAAATTTGAAAATTCTTATCCTTTGATTTCACTTAGTTTACGTGTTGATTTCCACATCACATATCTCAACAATGAAATTGAGCTACCAGTACCTATAATATAAGACCACTAAGGCCCTTGGGCCTCTTGTTTTTATTCAGTTTTACTGCCAAATACAGGCTGTTCCCCTAGCTAAAACGTCCAATTTCAATACAAATGATATTTTATTTTCCCAATTCATTAAGGAACAGGCTTTATAAACATTTGTGTAACAAAAACACTGAGAGCACATTAATTTAATCAGTCATTTTGTGAAAAAAAATGAAGCTTTGTGTGATTGTAGTATATATATTGATCAGTGATTTGGTTTTGTAGCCTATGTTTTATCTTGAGGGATGAAGGAATCTCAACACCTAAGAACGATTCAATAACTTATATAAACAGTATCCTGATGATGAATCGCAATTTGAAACATTTAGATCTCGTTAAAATTATTGAACCATTCTTAGATATTAAGATTCCTTCATTCCTCCACATGTTTTGTTAATAAGGAACTCAAATAAATCCATTTAACAGATCCACCCGACAGATCCTGCATCTTAACCATTTCACCACTGTAGACCATAATGGACCCCTCCATATGAATGTATGGTAGTGTCTACTGAAGTTACATAGGGGTGAAAGGGTTAATTTCCTACATTAGGAGTGTTACATGTACATCTCCTCCACACACGTTGTGTCTATGTTTTGAAACACAAATAATCGGTTACCCGAGGTAAGGTATTTACTGGGTACATAAGTTTTACAAAATCAGTATTGACGGCTATACCAAATATGCACAAGGAAATAATTTAATGGACTTGTACTTTATTACTGTAATACAGCTGTCATCTGTTAAACAAAATCAAATGCAAAAAAGGTTTCCTTCTACATTCAGGATGACGTAGCGTTAAAGCAGAAACTGAAAGACGAACAGAAAGCCTTACAAGCTGCGAAAGACAAAGCTGGAAAGAAAGGACCCATGGGTGAGATACATTTTGTCTTTTGTTACCCTATGTTGTGGGCAGGCCTGTCTGTGGACCCATGGATGAGATACATTGTGTCTTTTGTTACCCTATATTGTGGGCAGGCCTGTCTGTGGACCCATGGGTGAGATACCTTGTGTCTTTTGTTACCCTATATTGTGGACAGGCCTGTCTGTGGACCCATGGGTGAGATACATTTTGTCTTTTGTTACCCTATGTTGTGGGCAGGCCTGTCTGTGGACCCATGGCCGAGATACATTGTGTATTTTGTTACCCTATATTGTGGGCAGGTCTGTCTGTGGACCCATGGGTGAGATACATTGGGCTTTTGTTACCCTATATTGTGGGCAGGCCTGTCTGTGGACCCATGGCCGAGATACATTGTGTCTTTTGTTACCCTATATTGTGGGCAGGCCTGTCTGACGACCAAAGTTTCTCTGGTACACCATGGACACTGCTAATCTTCTCAACCACTTTATAAGCAGCTTGGTAAACATTATCAGTACCTTGAGTTTCTTTTTAAGCCTTTTAAGAATTTTGCAGTTTATTTTCATTTTTACTGTTTCATTATGAGTTATGCCCCATATCTGATTTCCAAATCAGAGAAGGAACATAATTCATAATGAAACGGTGAAAATATAAATTCATAATTCATTAATTTTATCTGCTTATTTTGTATTTTTACTACTTCCACAGGAATGTCCCTTAATTCTTAATTCATGAATATCCTGAAGTACTTATCTTGCCTGACATTTACAAAAGTTTATCAAATGAATGCTACCTTGGATAGTTGAGTGATTGCTATTTGTTTTTTAGCTCAGCTAGTTCTTCCCACTGTCTGTATTTGTTTTGTGTGGGAATGTATAGTATAATAGCATGTCGCTTACAATTCAAGTCATATCTGAACAATTCTCTTCGAATCAGAAAGAAACAATATGATTCATATGTAATTTAATTTCACAAATTGTAGTTCATTAAAACTGTTTCTTGATTTATTTACAGGTGCTTCAGGCATAAAGAAATCAGGGAAGAAATGACCCTGACAAAATGGGGATATGGGGGCTGGAGGACAAAGCTTTTCTGCATCACTTTAACACAAACACATCAGATCATGGATAAATGTGTCGTCATGCCTGGCGTTTCATCGTCAAGGGACTTTGTAATTGTAAATATCTAAAATATTGATTCCCAATCATGTTCTACCAAGTCTTTTTGCATGATTCAAATATCATCAGATCTGTCCAAGTGAAACAAACATAAACAAACGACGGAAAGTGAATATTCAGTAAATCCTTATTTCTTTGAATGCAGACAAGCATTAGACTGTTTCCTGATTTTAGAAATAATAATTATCAAGGATGGACATTAGCCATTTCAATGTTAGTAGTTTCCCAGGTTGTAGATACATACTTGAAAATTGTTTTTTATTATTGGTTGTCTTGTAATAAGTACATAAAGAAATTCGGACATTATTTATGCACAACATAGTCTTACTTTCTGATGATGTCTAGTGTTATTCTATAATCTAGAAATTAAAGCCAATAGTCTTTAATATTCTTGTTATTTTCTATAATTGAAACCGTTCAGCCCTGACTAAATGTAAAATTTAACTCTGCCTGATGCTGATACCCAAGTATTGTATGCGTTCATTTGATGTTTCACATGAATATATAGAGATGCATTGTGCAATATATATAAAGATACACATGCAGACTTACTTAAAACAGAAAAAATCTTATCTTTTCACGTCTTCAATATGTTTTATGTGTATTTGATGTAAAAAAAAAGATCTTTTGAAAAGGAAGTGCCAATATGATATTGGGAAAAAAATAAAAGCATGACATAATGAAACGTGATTATTTTATTGTCTTTATTCATATGAAGTATATTCACCACAGAAGAGCATTTAATATACCCATTCAAATTTTATATTTGACTGAAGGGTTCCTGTCCCACTGTGGTTTTGTCTATATACAGTAACCTCCCGTTAACTTCCATCCCTGTCCCTCTGGTTTTGTCTATATACAGTAACCTACCGTTAACTTCCATCCCTGTCCCACTGTGGTTTTGTCTATATACAGTAACCTCCCGTTAACTTCCATCCCTGTCCCACTACCGTTTTGTCTATATACAGTAACCTCCCGTTAACTTCCATCCCTGTCCCACTACCGTTTTTTCCATATACAGTAACCTCCCGTTAACTTCCATCCCTGTCCCACTGTGGTTTTGTCTATATACAGTAACCTCCCATTCACCTCCATCCCTGTCCCACTGTGGTTTTGTCTATATACAGTAACCTCCCATTAACTTCCATCCCTGTCCCACTGTGGTTTTGTCTATATTCAGTAACCTCCCGTTAACTTCCATCCCTGTCCCACTGCCGTTTTGTCTATATACAGTAACCTCCCGTTAACTTCTATTCTTGTCCCACTACCGTTTTGTCTATATACAGTAACCTCCCGTTAGATATAACTAGCACATTGGTCTAAGATACTTAAGTTGACCAGGTAGCGTACTCGGTCAGAGCATTAATATATATATCTGAACTCCAGTGTTCAAGTCCTGGTCTAGGCGCTGATTTGTTTACTCTCAAAACACGGTTGTTGATTATATTTTGTTTATTTTATCTTTATTATTTCTCATAAAAGTCCAGCAAGGTAAGCTGTCCTATGACTCTTTGTTGGTGTTCTGAGGAAACAGTTAGTTTACAGGGTATTATGTGTTGCTTTATTTCATTATAGACCATTTCAGCAATTCCTGGAACACTAGACCTAATATTACTGACATGTAACTGTTGCTGTGTTCAGTCCCCCATCAGTACATGTACTGCTGGAGATGACTATAGGTTTGTACTTCATCGCTGCAAGCTTTGTCTGAGGCAGAAAGAAAAATTGCCAAATTCTGTATGCCAGTAGCCAGTACCAGGAAGGGGGGAATGGGTGATATTCTCTAGTGGGTTTTGTACTTGTCTATATAAAGAGTAATGGCCCTTTGTTCAAATGTAGTTTTTAGGTCACCTGAGCTTTGCTCAAGTGACCTATTCCAATCGCTTTTCGTCCGTCGTCGTCCGTCGT